ACACACACACACACACATATATCCGCCTGAGGTGGGTATCCACATCCCTCCCATGTCTCAATTTGGTAGAGTTCATATTTTTTTCCTCGAGTGCCAGCTTATTCACCTAACCATAGCAACAATAGGTCATGCTATGCTCAAGAGTAATATACCACCAACGCAGTAAGGCCATCCATTCATAGTAAGCGGGGGACACCCTGAACCGGTTGCCAGTCAATCGCCGGGTACACAGAGACAAACAACCATCCGCGCTCACACTCACACCTAGGAACAATTTAGAGTGTTCAATCAGCCTGCCATGCATGTTTTTGGAATGTGGGAGGAAACAGGAGTACCCGGAGAAAACCCACGCAGGCAAGGGGAGAACATGCAAACTCCACACAGGAAGGCCAGAGATGGGGGTAAGAAGAGCCAACCTCAAAATAAACTTTACCTTACCAATTAATACTATATGGGCATCACTCCCTTGGTGCGCTTTTATTTTGAAGTTGTTCACGCTAGTGTGTCCAGGCGTAATGGCTGACTTGACTCATCTTCCAGACTCTGGGCTGTCACAAACTGTTGCTATCGATGTCAACAACACAACATCGTCCTGAAATTATGTTCAATCACTAATTAAGGGCACTAAAAAAAACATAAAAGACATTATTACGCTGACACTGTATTGTATGGCGCCTGTTGCCAGCAATAGCCAATAACAGGGTTAGCCACTAGCAGCTAGCAAGAGGTGTCTGATTACTATTCAAAGGCAGTTTTAATTGAGCTAAGTGACAGCGCATTTTGATGCCAACAGCTTGACACAGTGGCCATTCCTACGGATCACTCTTTAACAAACCTGGCTGACTCCAGTAATAATAATAATAATAATACATTTTATTTATAAGCGCCTTTCAAAACACCCAAGGACACTTTACAATCAGGAACAAGAACAATAAAACACAATGCGGGTTGAGCAGCGGCAGTGTGTTGTTTTAGCCAGCAAAATCGCTCATGGATCTGATGTCATTTTGTCTCAAGACATTTGTTTAAATATGGAAAACACATATGTAAATGATAATTGATTTACTGTACTTATATGAACATTTATGTTTAAAATGTTTCATTTTAATGTTTAAAAATATTGTCCTGTTTGTTTCTTGATTCAGTTGAGTAGGATAATCACATACCAAAATATTCTGCAGCCCTAGTGTGGTGTGTGTTAAAAATTATTTTTCGACCCCAATCGGCTCAGAAAACTGTCGGAGACAACAATCGTAAATGGTAAACTTTTGTAATATTTACAATCACATATCTTTATGCGTGTGGTAAACACAGAGTTTGGCCAATCACTGACTCCGTGACATCAGACGGAAGAATGGCCAGGTAGGAAGCAACCTGAAGCTTGTGCTGTTAGTCAAGTCAAGTACAGGCGCTTCCCGCTTTACGAACTTTCGTGTTGCGAACAACGATACATACGAACATTTTTGCGGGTACAGGTATGTCGAAAAATGTTCTCGGACAGAGATGCTGTCAGTTAGATTTTGTATTGCGCGCCTTTTTCCGAGTACTGTAGTACTTCTTTCCCCCGCTAATACCGACGTGAGGCGCTGTGAGAGGAGGAGGAAACGCCTGTCCCCATGAAGAAGTTCGAGACGGAACTCTCTCCCCCTCCATCATCTCCTTAAGCCTTCGAGTACATCTTCCAAAAGTAAGTTAAACTTCATTTTATTATACTTATATAAACCTTAAACATACTTATATAAGCCTGAAACATACATCCCATACAAAATATAGCACTGAAGCAACTTACGTACGAATTCAGCCGACGAACGATCCTTCGGAACGTATCTCGTTCGTTAGCTGGGGAGCGTCTGTCCAACTTTATTGTCAAATGTGCTGTACAGCACAGATGAAATTTCTTCCCTCTCAAGACAACATGCAACAAGAGGAGCCGGTGCAGGTGCCCGCCCCGCCATCAAAAGAAAATGACAAAATAATACAAGACAACACATAAGACACAGACAATCGTGCAATCTGAACCACTTTCCTGCATACACTTTGTTGTCTGAAGCAGTTCTAGATGAAAGAGGAGTGAATCAAAGTGTCCTTTTCACCAGTGGATCAAAGACGTCATGCTGAAATGTGCACACGTCTGCTACAAGCTAAGTTGAAAGCAACAAGAAGCCGTAGCATCCATTAACAAAAAGAGATTGGCTCTCTTCTCATGTCCCATGTAAATCCGCTTCAATTCCAAGCCGCAATTAGTGGACACAAATAGAGAAGAAAATGGTTGCGTTGAGTGTTTGCATTATGTGTCTCAGAAATTATTCACCGCAACAACAACAACAAAAAAAGACAAGATTGCAATGTTGTTACCAACTATAATTACTGTAAATCTAGTTTCGTCTTCTCCCATACCTTTTTCTAATATTATACTTTCTTCTAGATTGTATTTTTGGGATATATGGATGCCCTGTTCCACCACACTGTGTCTCACAAATCAGTGTTGGTACTGACAGACATCTGGTTGGAGTGTCTTACAATTGTTAGTGTGTGTGTGTGTGTGTGTGTGTGTGTGTGTGTGTGTGTGTGTGTGTGTTTGATGTTGTAACATGTAGTGTTCCATATGTGTGGAGTGAAGTCAAGTACAACTTTATTGTCAAATGTGCTGTATGCATAGATGAAATTTCTTCCCTCTGAAGACAGCATACAACAAGAGGAGCCGCTGCGGGTGCCCGCGCCGCCATCAATAGAAAAGTTGATATAAAATGACAAAATAATACAAGACAACACATTAGACACAGACAATCGTGCAATCTTCACCACTTTCCTGCATACACTTTGTTGTCTGAAGCAGTTATAGATGAAAGAGGTCCTTAGCCGAGTGAAAAGTGCACATTTAGGAAATTACACTATTAGAATTTCGTTCCAAGTACTGTATGCGTTCTGCATGTAAATCTCAAGTGTCTGCAGAAGTATAGAAGGTCTTTGGAAAGTGAGTTACCTGCTCGTTGACAGCAAGTGGAGCATCTCTGACAGCAGGGTCCTGGGACTTCATGGCTTGGCTGTAACACCTCTATCCTCCTGCGTTGCAAATAAACAGTCAAATATGTCTCTTTGAAGATGCTCATTTAAATGGAAACACATGGAACGTTTGGTATTCTTGGCTATTTATGGGGCAGACTATTTAGAGGGGCCTATAAACAGGCCCCAATGTGTTGCACTTGGCTGCAGAGGAGATGGGGGCTGGAGGACTTCCACTGATAACGGGCATGAGGTGAATGCAAAAATTGAAAGCCAAAAAGAAAATCGGGGTGACGCTTTCCCTGCCACTGAGGTGCAGTTCAGACATGCGGACGTGCCAAAAGTTGAGCGGGTGTTAATGGTCTCGCCGCCATGCGCCACCCCTCCGTTCGAACCAATAAAAGTCTCGTCGGTCACTTTAGGACATCACCACTAGACTGCCATATTCGCCGTTATGAATCGGTCTCTCTTTATCATAAATATATAAATTATGCTAATTGCGAGCATTGCATATTAACCCAAACTCATTTCCTGTCGCAGTTTAACTGCTGCGCGCGAACGAGGTGACAAGAGTCGTGCTTTTTATGATTATTTTTTCTTTTGTCATTTTTAAACAGAAAACTTACCGGTTCTAAAAGATCCTTGTCACAGTTTGGTTCAGTCGCAGCTAATTAAAAATGCATCTCAGCTCCCAGACAGGCGCAGTGGCTGCACACACAAAAGCCATTTGCATTGATAAGAAGGAGGGCTGCAATGTTTTGGGGAATCTGGCCTCTTGCGTCGCCTCGCCGCGATGCCAACACTTCGGCTCATCCCTCCCACCCTCCAAAAAAAGCCTTCGGGCGCCTCACAAGCTCCCATGTGAGGCACAAAGTCGGCGGGAATCGCCAGAAATGTGCCCTTTTCGCCACTACGTCATGAACATAATTTATGCAAGAAAAAAATCTTGCATTGAAAATGTCTGCCGCGAGTTGAGAGGCGCCGTGGCGCTCTTAAAGGGCCAGCGCACCAAATATGGCCCAGACGGGCGCTTGCAAGTGTGCGTAATGTTACCATCAACTCACTTACCGGGACTCTCCCTGTTTCATTTTAGTTTCAAGTACGAAGGTATACTTCACATTTCATTTTTGTTTTGCTACATTTATCACAGCAGAGGCGATGCAAGAAAATACAGGCGATAACTAGGGTCACATTTGGAGTTTTCATTTTAGTTTTTCAAAATTAATGTCTTAGACGTGAAACATATTGAACACAAAATCGAACAGAACAGTCAGTACAGTGGTTACCTCTGTATCAAAGTTGTGAGGTTAGAGTTTTGCCTCGTGGCTCTGGCATTCCTGTGTGGAGTTTGTATGCTCTTTTTGTGCTTGTGTGGGTATTCCTTCCTTTTCCTTCCACAATCAAAAACCTTTCAACCGTTCATTAGCAGGGGCAATTTTTGGGTCAGAGGTTTAGGGGTGCCGAGCCCCTGGACATTTAAACATTTTGTACATTTGAATGCAATTTAATTCTCACATTTATGAGAGAGAAGCATAGCACTTATTGGTCATGGACATCCAACCACTTATTTTCTCAGTAGTAAACAAAAGACAGTGGTGCCATCTCTGACCACCTGAAATGTTTCCTGGCTAGGGAAAAAAGTGTCAGCTAACTCTTACCCAACAACATAAACAGTGAGCAACAATGAAATTCAGCAACAAGAAGATATGCTATTTCTGAGGCGTGGGAGCGATGCTTTAACTTTGTTGTGAAAATATTACGTTTCAACAAAGTACTGTACGTTAACACGCACCTCTCTTTTGTTTTAAAAGGACGTGTATTTAAAAAAAATAACCAGATAATATCGTAAATTTTAGGGGCGCTTTGACCCCCCCCCCCATTATGGGCTGATAGAATTATGTTATCTTAACATACTTCTCACGCATGTTATCTTAACATAAAATTAAATTGGGGGTTATAAATCTGCTTTAAAAAGCGCCTTGAACTTGAACTACAACTTTTTTTTCACCCATGTTAGATTATGAAGACCTGTAAAATATGAGATGGGCTGGAAACAAGTTCACTTTTATTTACAAGGCCATTTTTGGACTACTGCCCTTTGCAAATGTAACTTGTTCACACATAGAAGTGTTGATTCGTTGCTTTCAAATATCAAATGTTGTTGCTAATTGTTCAATTTGTATGCACAGAATTGGGTACTTTCTGCCCCTTCGACATGGAAACTGTTGCAAAAGGACTAAAAAGTAAAGGAATCTATCTCTTGAAATGACTTGAATCCAGGCCGAGAGCACTTGAGGCGGCCTCATTAACCTGCAACTGTTTTATCTCATTTGGATGTCATTTTAAATTGTGTTGAAGCTGTAACTTTTTGTCATTGCGCATTTTGTAATTTGACCTCTTGCCAGCACGCCCTTGAGAAAAGGTTTTTTTTTAATCTTACTGGGACATTCCTGGTTATTAAATTAAGGTCAAATAAAAATAAATAATATTTGAAAATGAAAACACTTGCAGTGATTGATAGAAATTAAATGCTCTATATTGTTTCAGTATTTATCTGTTTCCTACCTTGATAATTTTTATTAAATACATAACATACAGTGCAATGGTCACTTGATCAGGGTCTTTACATAGATGAATATCACCATCATCATTAATAATATACATGACGGTATATTCTGCAAACGAGTTATTTCAGAAGTGTGTATCAAACTGGTACCCCTTTTCACGAATCAGCACACAAGAAGTTGCTCTTCGTTTCAAAATAAGATAGGTGACGCCTACTCTGAAGTTCCTTGGGTTTAAGCGTAAATTTGAATGGTTGTTTGTCTACATGTGCCCTTGCAGTTTGACTGGAGAGCATTCATGGGTACTGTACTTCGAATTGAGCCCAAAATCTATCTATCTATCTATCTATCTATCTATCTATCTATCTATCTATCTATCTATCTATCTATCTATCTATCTATCTATCTATCTATCTATCTATCTATCACGGCCCAACAGTTTACTTCTATCTATCTATCTATCTATCTATCTATCTATCTATCTATCTATCTCAAACTGGTACCCCTTTTCACGAATCAGCACACAAGAAGTTGCTCTTCGTTTCAAAATAAGATAGGTGACGCCTACTCTGAAGTTCCTTGGGTTTAAGCGTAAATTTGAATGGTTGTTTGTCTACATGTGCCCTTGCAGTTTGACTGGAGAGCATTCATGGGTACTGTACTTCGAATTGAGCCCAAAATCTATCTATCTATCTATCTATCTATCTATCTATCTATCTATCACGGCCCAACAGTTTACTCTCGCCATTCACTCGTCAGTTCCACCATTGACCGGTAGGGGGCGCGCCACGAAATAACCAACCAGCCGCGCTTGCCCGCCGAAAGAGAGCAGGTGACGTCACCACTGTCCACAACAACAAGAGGCAGAAAAACAAGGAAGTGGATTATTGTCATTAACGTCGTGATTCTGTTCGTTTTAGCGACTCTGTGACAAGACTCGCAGAGTCTCCAGATATACACTGATATCCTCTGAACTTCGAACCGGATCGTAACAATGAACAACAAAGGTATTTTATCCGCACATACTGAGTCTTTTTCCCCCGTCAGCTGCTTGCTATGCGTCGCTAACGCTAAATGTAGCAATGCTAGTTGTTTTGGACAACCGAGTTGGGCTGCTTAACAATACGCTGACGGTGGCCGTCGGAATTTCTGAGAAACACGTTGAATTTAGCGTTATATAATGTCATATTAAAAATTAAAACACGATTTAGTTCAAACGAAGGAATGTGTGGTCAGATCATGTCGTATTGATTATTATCAGGCGATCATGAAATGTAGTCAGTTTTGGACGAGCTGTTTTTGGTTTCATTTTCCCAGGAGTAGTAAGAGAGTTGATGTCTGTACGGCTCAGTTATATTAATAGTCACTATTATAGCTTGCTCACATGAACACATTGACATAGGCCACGGTACGTTCTTTTGTCCTTCTCATTTTTTTTTAACAAACACAAGCAAAAATTTATCTGTATTACAACTAAGATAATTTATAATACATACATGTTTTGGTTTTCATTGGTTAGGCTTGTGTTAAAACAAAGGCAAATATACCATGAATCACTATAAAATACTTTTTTAAATATCTACTTAAATTCGAGTTCTTAACTTATAAAACACTTTGACTTGCAATCTTTTCAGCATTCACTATGACAATTTAAGAACATTCTACCAAACAGGTGTCCTCATAGAAATGCCAGATGGGCATTATCTATGGCCATGGAAGATGACAAAAGAAAAATCCCATCACTTTTTCAGCATTCTTGTTTGAGTTTTCCGGTATGTGTATATTTGTTAAAGGTATGTTTTGTCTTGCAGGCTCATATCCACAGCAGAGTGTTTACCCTCAGCAGAGCACCGCCCCTGTATACCCCCATGCTATGCAAATCTCTCCTCAGGCGCCTCCTTACACGGACACGCCACCCGCATACTCTGAGGTAACCGTAGAGATGGTGGCAATGAGCCCAATTGTAAAAAATGTTAACAACTTCTTCTGCGTATTTCCACAGATATACCAGCCCAGATATGTGCTTCCCCCTCAGGTGACCGGCCAGGTGCCTCAGATGACCTCCCCTTATGTGGGTACTCAGGTCTACATGCCCATGCAGCCGCAGATGCCCGTCGGGCCGATGGCCCAGAACGTCCCCCTGGCTTACTATCCCATGGGAGCCGTGTACCCCGCTGGTTCCACAGTGATGGTTGAGGGTGGCTTCGATGCTGGCGCTCGCTTTACCGCTGGCAGCAGCGTTTCCATCCCGGTGAGTGTTTGCCGTCAGCATGTTGACATACCATTGCAGGGCTCTGTGCGTGCCTGAATTTTGCGATGTGGCAACTGAAAAAATATGATAGGTTATACACGTACAATCAGCCAATGTCGCCTCAGTAGTGGCCCCAACTCGAGGGTGGCGTGTTCGGGAAACCGCTGGACGACTCAGACCCTGGAGAATGCTGATGACCATGGTCTATTCTATTTCCCCTCAGCCCCCACCCCCGGGGCACGCCCCAAATGCGGCCCAACTGGCGGCCATGCAGGGCGCCAACGTGGTCATGACGCAGCGCAAGAACAACTTCTTCTTGGGCGGCTCCAGCGGAGGTTACACCATCTGGTAACAGCAGCTGCTCCCTCGCGCTTACACCCAATCCAGCGCCCACCCCCTTCCCCAACATCACGTCCCTCCCCATCTCCTCCTTAGGCTGCTTAGCCACAATACTGAAATCACCTAATGGAATGTAATGTTTTTGAGCCCTTGTGAAAGGTACAGTACTCCACTTGTAACCTAGCGATCAAATGACCAACGCAAGTATTTTACTCGAATCCATCCCATCATATTTCATTGCGTCTTGCTTTGGTTTTAGTTTAGGTCATTCCAGGTTCACGCGGATGGTGGCCTGTGCTTTGACACTCGTTGTTAAGTAGGTTAGCCAGGTAGCTAAACTTGATAGATTTTGCAAGGTTTAGGCTCTCTACGGTAATGCGATGAAGTCCACTTAGAGGGAGAGTCAAGTCAACATTTTTCTTGACAATAATATGTTTGGTGTCCTCCACTATTCTAAGCACTGTATTCGGATTCATATTGCGTTTGTGGAATATAAATTGAGCGGAAAATCTATCCATTTTTATCCATCTCAGGGAGTGGCCATTTTGCTCTGGTAACGACCGTTATGGCTCATCTATTTCTGGTTTTGGTCATTTGGTGACATTTGCAAGCTGAGCTCTTCGGCGCCGTGATGTACAAGATAATATGGCTGCCACCTGAGCTGGATAAAGACGGGTGAATTTTTATTACACACATCACTTGAATCAGAATACCATCTGACTTGACTTCCCGTTTAAGAGATCAACATTTGGAAAACAGCATCACATAAAAGTCTTTGATTAAGTCTGCACTAGAGATTCTCAACTGGTCTCACGTGTTTTTTTCCCTTTGGCCGTTCTATCAGATATCAAACCAAATTGTTGTGTGAAAACGTATCAAAGCGCATTACGGGGAACTGAGGAGTCAAGTTAAACTGATCATCAACACCACACGATAAGGCCACAAATTAAAAGTGGATAAAATATGATAAAATATTCAAATACACAAAGACGGCAGCACAAATCTGAAGTCAAGATGCTAAGCTGCCGTATGTTTCTTAAGGTGTGCGACTGGCCATTAAATGCCTTTAAAAGTATTTTTGACAACCAGTTGAAAGTGACTCGTCTGGAGACCAAAATATCACACTTAATTCTGCATCTATCGAAAAGAAATTAGGCAATAGGCAATTTATGTCGTTTATAATAGTCAAGCTGCTTCATAGTGAAAGTGACACACAATTGCAAAGTTGAACGCAAGAAAAAAAAATCCCCACTCGTCTTTTTTTTTCCTTTCAAAACCTTTTAGTGTAGTTAAACTTTTGGATGTTGTATTTACATGTAAATATCAGTATGACTATCACAAGAAATTCTCAAGAAAAAAACGTGCATCGAGCTAGATTGAATTTGTTGTACTCGATGTTTTAAAAAAAACATTAAAAAGCAAGTCGCATTTAAAGAACTGAAAGTCAAGAAATGTAAAAATGCACTTGCAGAAAAAGTGGTTTACTGTACCTTGTGGGGCAACGTATAGATTTAACATAGTCAAGTGCCAAAGAGCACTGGGGGATTGTCCCCGTTTAAAGAAACAAAACGTTCAAAAGAAAATGGAACAAGATTTTCTAAATCCAAATGAGTTGACTGGGACAGGCTGGTTGGTATAACATTTGTAGCTTGTTAATTTTCTTTTTTTTTTGTTTTGTTTTGTTGTCGGATACCTAGAGTTTATACACTAAATGTCTGAAGCGTGCATATCGGTCTAAGTATGTCTGTTGTTTGATTTGGTATTCATTTACTTTTGAGGAAAAGCCCCCATTTTCAATCTGGAACGTTTGAATAGGTTCCTTGGTTTCCATTCATGAGGCTCATTCAATTTTTTGTTTATTAAAACAAAACAAAAAAAAACAACAACAGTTCAAGTCAATTTTACCAAAGAAAACAATGACGTTTTATATTATCCAATAACCAGTTATGGGCTTTTTCACAATTGTTCAAACAATGTTGTGAGTTTCATCATCTTTAATTTGCACATTACTGCTAATTTAATGAAACCCGAGATGCACTGCTAAACTAAAATGACAAATTCCAGAAAGGGTGTTGGTGGTTATTTTTTGTCATCATGGTTTTGTGTGAATGTGTGTTCAGAAAACTGTGAAATATTGTACTAAGAGGCTTTACTGCTGTTTGCGTGAACACGTTTAGTTAACAAGATACAATCAGAAAACAACTACTAGCTTTATGTTTGACTATTTCATGTCTAACTTTAATATTGTAATGTAAAGTTAGCTTACAGGCTGTTGAAGGGTTGGGGAGGACAATACAGTTGCAAGAAAAAGTATGTGAACCATTTGGAATTACCTGGATTTCTGCATTAATTGCTCATAAAATAGTGTTCTGATCTTCGTCTCAATCACAACAACAGACAAACACAATCTGCTTGAACCAATACCACACAAACAATTTTATGTTCTCGGTTTTTTTGTTTGTTTGTTTTTTAAACACCATGTAAATATTCACAGGGCGGGGGTGGGAAAAAGTATGTGAACCCTTAAGCTAATAAGCTAATACAGGTGAGCAATCTGGAGTCGAATCAATGAGCCAGATTGAAGTGGTTGGGTGAAGCTGCCCTGCCCTATAAAACCCACACCACTTTGGAGTTTGCTATTCTCAAGACCCCATTGTCTGATATGAACCATGCCTCGCACAAAAGAGCTCTCAGAAGACCTACGATGAAGGATTGTCGACATGCATAAAGCTCGGAAGGGTGATAAAATTATCTCTAAAAGCCTTGTTGTCCATCAGTCCACTGTGAGACAAATTGTCTATAAATGGAAAAAGTTCAGCACCGTTGCTATTAACTACAAGTAGCCGTCCTGTAACGATGACTGCAAGAGCACAATGCAGAATACTCAGAAAGGTGAAGAATCCTAGCGACTTACAAAATTCTCTGGTACACTAGACAAATCTACAATACGCAAAACACAACAAGAATGGAGTTCATGGGAGGACACCACAGAGGAAGCCATTGCTGTCCAACCCCCAAAAAAACAAAACAAAACAATGCTGCACATTTGAAGTTTGCAAAGGATCACATGGGTGTTCCACAGCATTACTTGTAAAATATTCTGTGGACAGATGAAACCAAAACAGAGTTATTTGGAAGGAATACACACCGCGAAGTGTGGAGAAAAAAAGGCACAGCACACCAACATCAAAATCTCATCCCAACTGTGAAGTAAGGTGGAGGGGGGCATCATGGTTTGGGGCTGCTTTGCTCTCTCAGGGCCTGGACAGATTGCTATCATCGAAGGAAAAATGAATTCCCAAGTTTACCAAGATATTTTGAAGAAGAAGTCCACCAATTGAAGCTCAACAGAAGATGGGTGATGCGACAGGACAATGACGCAAAGCAAAAAAAGAAGTAAAACAACAGCATGGCTTCAACAGAAGAAAATGCACCTTCTGGAGTGGCCCAGCCAGGGTCCTGACCTCAACCCCATAGAGATGCTGTGGCATGACCTCAAGAGAGCGATTCACACCAGACATCCCAAGAACATTGCTGAACTGAAACAGTTGTTTAAAAATTCCTCCTGCCCATTGTGCAGGTCTGATCTGCAACTCCAGAAAACATTTGGCTGAGGTTATTGTTGCCAAAGTAGGGTCAACCAGTTATTAAATCCAAGGGTTCACTTACTTTTTCCACCACGCGTGGTGAATGTTTACATGGTGTGTTCAACAAAATTACATGAACATATTGTTTGTGTCGTATTAGTTGTTGTGACTTAGATGATCAGAACACATTTCATAACCAAATTATACACGAAATCCAGGTCATTCCAAAGGGTTCGCATACTTTTTCTTGCAACTGTATAGCTCGACAAATTTGAGGTGAAATTAGGGGCAATGGTAGGGATTTGTTACAAAATGGAGACACGTGACTGAGCTTAGCCAATCACCAGGCTGTATCCGTGGTTGCGAAAAAAAACGCTGCACGATAAGATGATGAAACCCCCTCAGACGCTTTTATTTTTCATGTTGCCCTCTACACGAATTTTTACATCTCCACTCACTCATCAGTAAATTACAACATGGTTGGGTGAGTCTATTCAAAATGATTTCCATGACATCCGAGGTTAGATAATTGCTGGTTTACAGCACTCGTGTTTGTTTCCAGAGTTGAACCAAAATGTTTTTTTTTTCTCTTTTCTCTGTATGCTGTGACTTGTGCTTTTGTTTTTACTACACTATTTGAACAAGAATTTGCTGTTTGCAGATATTCTTCACTGGGTATCCGACGAACCGTGTTCAGGTTTTGGAGGCTGTAGCCACAGGGAATCAAAAAAAAAAAAAAAAAACATCTCCTGGTTCTTGTCACGATGATGCGGTTGTGGAAAGGGTCATTCAGGCAAAAGTTCTTGAAGAAAAGCAGGGCACAGCTTCCAAAACTTGAACGGCCCTGTTTAGTTTTTTTTGTTTGTTTTTTTGTGACGGTGGTGCCAGCAATATGAAGTACTTCCTGTACGAGTACAGCAGTCATGCCAACCACAACCCGACAGACTTCCTCTCTGTTAAAGGATCATGGACATTCCTGATTCAGGGATTCTCTTTCCGATGTTTAAAAAAAAAAAGAGAGAGAGAGAGAGAAAAAGAGAGCCGCAGCGCTAAAGCGACAACGGACTTCTTATGCACATGTTCTGTCTTCAGATGACTAAAGGAGATGAGTGTCAACGACTTAGGTGCACTTAACTTTTTTATACTAAACTTAAGATTTAAAAGTGTAAGTTTAGAATCAATGTTATTTTGAAGATTTGAGAAGTTTGTTTAAATTTATTCACATATGTAATGTATTCAAATGGGGCATACTGCTAAATAAAGGACATTTGTTTTTTTTTTGTAACGTGATGAGAATATGAATGTCTTTTGTTCTTTTTTTCATTTGATTTCAGAGTGAACAAGTGCTTGCCAAATTACTCACAAGGTTACATTTTTACAACTTAGAACCGCATGATAGTAGACCAATAATTTCTATAGCACTTCTCTTGGAGCCGTGATAACTGAAGTACTTTGAAAGCACTTTGTTACAGCTGCAGCTGTTGTGAAAGCGCCTCAGAAATTAAGAGGAGTTGATTTGCTTTCCACCTGACTTTGGAGTAAAGGCACACTACAACCTGTTCAAACAATCATTGAGTGGGAAGTGAAGCCTATTTCAGTGGTTACTGGTCAACAACCTTTTTTTCTGCCACGAACCGGTTCCTGAATTTTTTTCTCAATTACTGATGCATACTCCCGACCGCAAACTAAATGCAGAGGGAGGGTGATGACATGCGTTCCCAATCATGAAGTTTATGTTCCGCTACAACCCAAAAAGTACTTCTATATTTGTGACTGGCTGTAAACCAGTTCAGGGTGCACCCCGCCAACTCCTCAAAAATAGGTTCCGGCATACCCGCGACTCTCCTGACGATGAGCGCTTCAAATGATGCATGGAGAGATGGATAATGCGTTTGTGTGGCCCAGTACCAAACCGGGCCAGGGAGCAGTGGTCGGGAACCACAGCAGCATTGTGTTTGATACTGTTTGAGTAAATATCAAAAGTTGCTCAGGAAAATCAAGTTCCAATAAAATCAGTTGAAACTCAAAATGCACAATTGCAGGCAACCTCAGTATACTGTATTGGATCTGACCACAGGATATTGTCAAATCGCAGGAAACTTGCTTGCTTTCAAGTAGGGATTGTTTGCGCGAATTAAAAAAAAGGAAACTAGTTAATTTTCAAACTTTAAGCATAATACTGAAAACGTTTTCCAGTTGTCAACAAAATGAACAATCCATTTTCCAAAACATCTTTATTGCCTTCCATATTTATGTCAAACATGGATGACAAACTGAAGCATGACAGGAATCATACAAAACGTTTCTTTTTTAAATGGTAACAGCTAAAAACATGGAGTCTCTTACCCCAAGAGGCATGTTTGATAAATATTGTAGCACACAATAATATATAATACAAAAATCATGTTTTAACAGCTTTCATGCATGTCTGCTGCATGCCACACGTCCCAAAATACAACACACACACACACACACACACACACACACACACACACACACACAATATTTTTCTTTGGTTTCATGCACCCGCAAGATTTTCTTCAGATAGGCATTCTTGCTGGTGTGCGGTCCTCCTACCGACTCCTCCTTTGAGTGGCCTTCAGTCTCTCAAATGAAGTATTCCTTCTTTTCGCCGGCGGCCTGGTTACCGGGATCCTCGTCAAGGTCCTCGCCGGGGGCCAGCTCCCCCGTGGTCCTGTAGTCCCCCTTGTTGTGGCACATGTAGTGATACAGCAAGACGCTCAGCAGGATTACCGTCAGCACGATGAGCGTCGCTACCACTGAGGTGCGGACACACGAGAGGGATTCAGACACGCTGTCAATCGCTGCCACTGACCTCAGATCACAACGGTGATAAAAAAAAAAAAATACCTGCAATAACTGTGGTGTCTGGTTTTAAGCTGGCTGTAGATGTCACCGCTGTAACTATAATGAAACAGGACCATGAGCGCTTCCATTCATTTGCGTAGTCAACATGCAGGACAGCTAATGATGGCAATGATTAGCATATTGTGGCAAATGCAGAGTTATCAGTAGTGTATTAAAGGGGTACTCTGCCCCAAAAGCTTTTTTTTTTTGTTTGCTGATAAACTATCTAAACAGTTTGCATGTTTGTTAAAATCCTAAATTTGGGGCAAAAAAAATGTCTATGTGGCGCCATGTTCAGGTTAAACACCGCACTGCATGTGAATTTGGCTTTCTGTCCCCTGATTGAACTAGCGGGGAATCCTCACATCATTTTCAGAATCTTTTCGTAGTCACGGTGGGTTATAAAATGCGGCTCAGTCGCCGCCGTGCCTCCGTAGCAAGTTGGGAGTTGAAATGGAAGCGTTTGCAAACGTCTTGATATCCATTTTCTGGTTAGTGATTTATGCGCATCGCATTTGGTTAATTTATTTAGCATTGCTTGTTGCAGGAGAGAAATTATTTGGGTCATCCGCTGCTGTCATTCACAGGCAGCAGACCACACCCAAACGTTATCACCCTCGTAAGTGAGGGGTGGAGCAAGAGTCTGTTTAAGGGGTGAGTTATCCTTTAAGGGTCGGGTGATTATTGGGCGGTATTTTATAACTTGTTTTAACAATGCTCTCCAAAAGTATTAGAACGGCAAGATCAATTCCTTTGGTTTTTTTATTGTATTGTGGAGACATTTAGTTTAAGATCAAAATGTGAAAACGAGACAAGTTCAGAATTCCAGTTTTTTATTTTATTGTATTTATATCCAGATGAGTTGGACAACTCAGGACAGAGCACCTTTTGTTTGAAGCCATCCGATTGAAAAGTGAAGCAAAAGTATCGGAACAGACATTTTTCAATGTCACTTGAAGTGAATAACGTGTAATTTTTGCTGGCATACGCCTTACTTGCAATCACGGCATCAAGCATCCGGCTAATTGACTTCACCAGGCAGTTGCATTCTTCATTTGAAATGCTTTCCCAGGCCTTTACCGCAGCCCCTTTCAGTTAATTGTTTCTGGGGGGTTTATTTCTTCAGCCTTGTCTTCAGGAGATGAAATGCATGCTCCATTGGGTTCAGGTCTTGTGACTGACTTGGCCAGTCTAATGGTTTTGTAAGCCTCAGAATTGATTTGGGTGTTTCTTCGCAGCTCGCGCAATGTTTCCATCATCAACAGCTGCTGATACTCTCAGATACCGGTTCGAAGTCTGTTGCTCAGTACACCAGTAGTTTCTTTTTCAGGACATTCCAAATTGTATTGTCAATGCCCAACATTTATACAATGGCTCTGACATGAATAACTACCATGAAATAAATGCTGGAATTCTGAACTTTCGTCTCATATTCATGTTTTGATGTGAAACACAAATGTCTTTAGCTTGCAACAAATATGAAGGAATTGACCTTGCCCTTCCAATACTTTGTGGAGGGAGCTGTATATCAAATTACATCTAAGTTGAGCTGGATTTGCAAATCATTGCGTTCTGTTTTTATTGGCGTTATAGACTAAGTCCCTGTGTATCTACTAGTTTATAATAGATTAGATACGTCCAGCAGGCAATCCCCCCTTTTCTTGACAATCCCGCCTTGTTTGTGCTTCAATAAAATAGTTGCCGCTTCAAAACATCTTCCGATAAGAATGCCAAAGATCCTTTGTTGTAGTGAGTCCAGGTGGGATCAGTCGCCGACTAGATTTTGTTTTAAATTGCAGGGTTTTATCTTCAAAGCTGGAATTTTTACTTTTCCCAAATCATATGATGATTCCACAAGCGGTGGTGTGAAAGCCAACAACACATTTGAGGAGTAGCGATCGTGTGGCTTGATGAAAGCAAGAGGGTAACAAAATAATGAAATAAAACAAAGATTGGTAACAGTATCAATGTCATCTTACTGTTTTCCGTTGTGTTGGTGTAAGGGGATTGTGTCGCCATGTCGAAAGCTGAAAGACAAAATTAAAAGTTGCCCGTTTAATAAGCAAGAAGGCTACCACCTAAGAGTTGTTACACCGCAAATGTCAACAGCATTTTACAGAAATGTATCCACCCCAGCATTTTCTACACCACAAAGCCCCAACACTGAGCCCAATAGATTTTTTTTTTTTTTTTTTTTAACTAAAATCAAATCTTAGTTTCTGCTCGGAATTCGTGCTCATTGCTTTGCACTTTTTTTTTTCAAACCTTCACACCAATAATAGACAATTTAATACATATCTTGGTATATTCGAAAAGTGGAAACTGTTGAATTAATTCGATGCCCTCCCACTGTTTCAATCAAAACCGACTAAAAGCATTTTTTGTTACAGCCGTAATGAAAACCACTTGTGCTTTATGCATTTTTCCTAACCAGAAAGCTGTGACTGAAATAAATAAAATCCATGTTTTGAAAAACTGTACTGCTTTCGAAACTGCCTTTGTTTTTTTCTCTCGCATATAAGGTCTGAATAATAATACATAATATACTCAGATTTATGAATTAAGGGTTAGGTTCAACAAGAGGTGGATTATTTTCTGAAACATAATAGCTATAAATTACTGCATGCTGAAAATACTGTAAACGCAAAACTCTGCGTCACAAATGCATTAAGGGACACATAAAACCATCTCTGAATAAAATTTGCTGTTGACCAGTGTAATCGGTCTGCTTTCACGGAGCATTAATGAAATCTGATAGGTACTAATGAGAGGCAGAAATTCAGAAAATTCGGACATTTGTAAGTTAGATAGGATCTCTAAACAATGACATGATTATCAAAAATAATTAGCAATTAATATGACGCACCTCTAGCAGTAAGCAAGAACACTGTCTGACATGTATACGAATTTATTCATTTATTATATGCTGCTGGGCAAAAGCATGTCCATGTTCACTCTGAGTTTTAATTTCTCCATCGCCATGTTCTTATACACTTATTCTGAAAACTATATGTTTGGCAACGATTGATCCTAGTCTAACGTTGCAATCTTAACTGACTTGTCGAATCCGCTGAGCCAGAACAGAAGTCGGTCGCAAACAAGCAAGGGAAATCGTCAACATCGCCATTTCCGTTTAGTGACGCCATTC